AGTCATTATTTGGTTCTGATTTTAAAAAATCTATTAAGAGCTATCAGAAAACAACAATTTTATATTTGTTTTTAAAACTTGGTTTCATTTTCTCTTTGTCTTTTCTCAGGAACTCCTTAACAAAAAATTATCTTGAAAGTCTAAGATAAGCAAGTTGTCCAAATCACTCTTATGATTTACTATTTGTGTATCCCTTTTATTTATCAAGACATCAATCAGTTTCATTTGTAAATCCAGTGCAACAATTTTTTTCTTATCATTCTTGTAATTTGTGATTTCTAAACTCATAGTCGAAAGAGTCTTAGCCTCAGTCTTATTATCTTCTATCTCCTCTTCTAAAACCATTATTATAGTAGTAGACAGAAATTTCTGAGTGCATTGTTTCCAAATATCCTGGAATTCTTCCAGGATAAAATATTTAAAATATTTTATCCTGGAAGTTAAAATATTTTTTGCTCTTCTTTATATTAGTGGGTCTCTTCTTGTTTAATTATAAACTTAATTTTTTTGTTCTCTCTAGTATCCAATATTCAAAGTTCTATCTTATTATATTTTCCTCTAATCCATAACAGTTTTCTATGAAAACTTAAACTTCAAAATATTCATATATTTTAAAATAATCCTTTTAAACAAAGAAGGATTCTTATAATTAATTTCAAATTCTTATTTCAAATCCATCTTAGTTCTTTTCTAATGTTTCAAAATCAAATTTCTAAGCATCATTCTGTTGTTTGTTCCACAATAAGTCCTTAAATCCTTAAATTTGCATAATAAATCTTCCACCAAGGATTGAAGGATTCTCATTCAGTGAAGTGAAACTTGACTTCCCTAAATGTCTATGAAGATTCTCAGTCATCCAGGTCATGGTTGTCCCAATGGTGCTTTTTCAAGAGGCAGTTCGACTTTCTTTGTTTTCTGAAGAAGCTTCTTGGATGAAAAGCAAAATGTCTTCAAGGAAAAATAAAGAAAATCCAGTTGTGTCTTGAAAAAGCACCATTGGGATAACATTCCTAAAGTTCTTAATATCCCAAAAACTGTTAAGCAATTTCCAGACATTATTAAGAAAGGAAGTATGCAATTCCAGTGTCCTTTTGAAGGTGCAAACTGTGGCCTTGGCTATGAGGTTCTAAAACCCACTGGAAACCACAGTCTTATTGTTTCTTCTTGGGGAGCCACCATATGGTATGCTTGTAGGTGATCCCAGATCCTCTCCTTTATCCAGATGTGAATTCTGAGGAGCAATCCATTTTCCAGTTTTTCATTCTGCTACAGTCATTGGCTCTGGTCTCTACTGAGTTGTCTTTAGTTTGCCATAGCTTGCCCAGAATCCCCATTATTTGAGTATCTTGGGTGCAACTTCCTTGGTCAATTTGCCAATATGCATGAATGCTAAATTTAAAAGGCTTCCTTATTTGTACGTCTATTTCAAGACAAGTCCAACTTTTGATATAACCAAATTAGAAAAAAAAAGTAGTAACAATAATATAATTTTGCTGCACACCCTGGTAATGGATAGCATAAAAAGAATAGAAATAAAAACATTAAGGGTATTCTTCTCTCTATAAGCTACACTGTTGAATTTCATGATAAATTACTGCTATTTCTTTCAGCTAGAATAAATCACTTCACAAAAGCCATAAAATTAATTTGTGCTTTGGCAGAACACATGCTGTTGTATGGTGGGTAGGAGGGAGAAGCAGGGGGAATAACTGATGAAAACCTTTGCATTCTTGGATTAGTTTCTACATGCATTGTTATATTCACATATTAAGTTTTATTGCCTGTTTTATATGAATTGCCTTCATGGAATAAAGGCTCTGAGTTTTTAATCCCAGATTTTTTTTAAAAAGTCCCAGGAAAAATCCTGAATTGCAATCAAAATATGATATAGAAAAATACATAGTTTGTTCTTTTCTGTTTCAATAATTAATAATACAACATCAAATATGCTTACAAGTTGAAAGGACTGAGATGCACTTGCCTTTAGATAGGAGAAGACATTTTCAGTTAGCTCTTTCAAGCATTCTGAAAGGAAGTGTCTGGAGAAATAGAATACAAGTATTTCATTTTTGGCTTAATATTTACTTACTTTCATATTTCCTGGACTTATAGGCCACTCCAATCTTAACATGACTGACAGAGTACAACCAGTATAAATAAGGTTAAAACATAAAATACAAATCAAAACATTGCAATCTCCAAGGCCTGTTAGGATGACCATATAGTTTAGTAGAGAAGGTGTCAGAGAAAGTCTTGGTCTACATAAGAGGAACAGCAATTGAGAACCCTGAAGATGGCATGCTCTAAAGGTATGAAAGGAGATTCTGTGAAATGGATAGGCAGATACTAATAGCATTAGGCAGTTTGACAGATACTCATGAAAGGCTTTAAAGATGACAACAGTACCTTAAATTCCACTCAAATTGTACTTCTCAAAATTAGTATCAATGGGCAGTTAAGATATGCCCATATCTTTATGTCAGCTACACCAATATGGATGATTGTAGCCTTTGAATACTCTTGAAGAGCAGGACTGGGCTGAATGTGTGACAATAGAGAGGAAAATAAAAGGAGGATGGAGTAGTAAGTATGTTTGCCACCTTGAATTATTTATAAAAATAACAAGGACATAAAGAAAGGAAAGAAGGAAGGAAGGAAGGAAGGAAGGAAGGAAGGAAGGAAGGAAGGAAGGAAAGAAGGATAGATATGTTGAATCATTAAGCTAAAATGTGGTTGCCAGAACAGTATTAATCATCCATGAATAAGGATTTAAAAAATACAATGAATCTCTATATTCACATGATCCAAAAATTATTATTTTGACTTAATGTTCACTTCACATATTATGGTTTCAGTTGAAATGAAATGAAATTATTAAGTTACCTTGAGGTATCAACTTGTAAAATATGCAATATTACAAATGACTGACTTTTAAGAGTTATCAACAAGGAGCAGTCTTGTCAACTCTCAAAAAGAAGTGCTGATGAAGTAACTCTTGTGGATATGAATGGCTTAAGTGAGTAAGTCTTCTCCAGGATCATGATTCTGTAGTCTAGAATCCAACCTATCTATAGGATAGCAAGTTGAAAAAATCTTCTCTAGGTCATAAATAATAACATTCCAAAATTTAAAAAATTCCATTGTTTGAAGAATGATGCAATGTGCTAGAGCTCTTTCTTATACTCACGTATTAAACATGAAGCTTTTTTGTCCTTTATTTTTAGATAGCAGGACTTCTTATTTTGTCTTTCTTGTACTCCCCTATTTCTTTCCTTAGATTTAGCAGGAGAAATAATGTTCTGCAAGAATTTGATAGCTAATCACATGCAATAATATGTGTAGAAAGTTAGCATAAAACTCAGAAGCTAGGCAAGCAGAAAATTGCAATCAACCATTAACTGCCAATAGGGGAAAGATGCAAAACTAAGATGCTAATAAAGACAGCCAGTGGCAGTCACACATTTATGGCAAAGTTGAAGAGAGCAAAGGAAAATTATCAGAATGATCTGTATAAGAAATGGTGAAAGATCAAATAGAATAAATTATCTAGAACAGTGGTCACTAACCTTTACGGCTTAGTGTCCAGGCAGGGAGAGAAGAACTGGCCTGTGCAAGTGGTGGGCCAGCATACACACATACACACTGGCCCACTGCTCGTGCTAGTCCAGCTGCGTGTATGTCTGCCGGCCTGCCACTCACTCAAGTCAAACTGCGTGCTTGCGCATGTGTACCAGTGAGCTACTCGCATGGCCCACTTCCGAACAGGCCTCGGGATTGGAGATCCCTGATCTAGAAAGATGACAACATATTCTAAAGATTTTAAAGAGAGCTATACCAGAAAAAACCAATAACCTCAGAAACATGGTTAGCCTATTGGTTCCTGTTCTACCAGCATAATTTCTTGATCCAGTTATGCCCTAAAAAAACCCAAAGAATCAAGAAAAACAACCCTTGTACCTAAAGTCTCTTTGGAAGATTTCCAAGAACCTTTCCTTATTCCTCTCCTCCTTTTTTCTTCCTACTTCCCATTCTTCAGCTTTAGATTAAGATAATGACTTTTTTAATGTGTATCAAATTCCAACACTTAATTGAAACCTCTTATTTAACTTATTTAACTTAATTAAAAAGCAAAACAATTTCACTTGGTCTGACTCTTAAACATTACACTCAGATGAAGATAAAAGGAAAAGGGGTATATTTTACATATTTACAATATGGCTACATATCAGAAAATTAAATGGACGATTGAAATAACACAAAATTAATACTCAGATGAGTTTTCTTGGTGTTGTGGATTAACTAACAATTCCAGCTGCTAAATATGAGTATCTCATTGAAGTGATCTCAGAGCATTGATAAAAATCACTAGTAAATATGAAACAATATGACCTTCTGACAGGTCATAGCACAATTAATGCTGGAAGACAGGAGGTTGGGTTGGAGCCCAAGTATCTTATAGTAACAGTCCTGTTGTTGGAGATTTATTTATTTATTTATTTATTTATTTATTTATTTATTTATTTATTTATTTATTTATTGAATTTATATACCGCCCTTCTCCCCAAAGGGACTCAGGGCGGTGAACAGCCGAAAATTAAAATAACATATAATATAAAAGTTAACATAACTAAAAATAAATTAAATTAATTGGCTTCCCAATTTATGAAGCAGTACTAGAGCCAATAGTCCCCATTCTACCTTTAGCAGATCAAGATAGTTTCCAGGATACTCTTAACTACCCCCATTGACAGTCTCTCAAATTCAGAGGTTCAACTCTTCAGTCCTAGGCACACAGAGAGAGGCTAATTAAAAGGGCAGCAGATTTGGCAATTCATGGTTACTGTAGTTCACCTATGCACTAGGCAGAGTTTTACTGTGGCTTATCTCCCTCTTCAAACTTCAGCTGTGGCCTTCATGTACATTGATTTACCACATCTTTGCTTCACCATGTCTCTTGCCTTTCCTCCAGATTCATCATCTGATCGTTTGTTTACCAGTTTTGATCCTTGCCTGACCTGTTGGACCGGAGCACATTCTGGCCTCAAGATATTCTGAAAGGATATTTTCAAAGGCTGCATGTTTTATACTAACTGTGAAACAACCTGAGCATGTTTATCTCTGGCTGTGAATGATTTATAGCCTGCAATTTGTGTTCTAGCAGCCTGCCGAACTGGCACAAAGAACTGTGTGTGAGTGAGGAAAGGAAGATTGAAAACGTGCATTCAACTCCAAGTTGGATACCAGAAGAGCCTAATTGCCCAGGTAATTCTGCCTCGTATTATCATAGCTATAATGTTGCAAGTATAGTCTCTGTACCTCTTAACTAAATGTATGACCAACTCTTAAGAAATGGAAACAACTGCAAATGCTGGATTCAGGTGCATATTGCTCTCATTGGGCAGAGTTAATTTTCAAGGATTTGCCCAGGGAGGAAGTAAAAAATTGTCAGGGTGGCAACCACAACTATGTGACCTATGTGAACCCATACCCAATACAACTTGTGTAAAAAGAGCAGGGCTTTGATCACATGTTGTGGTCATCGTATTGATTGACTGATACCCACCCTGGGAAGTTCACTGTTGGTATTTTTCTCAATCCTGACCATCAACACTGGACTAAATTAACCACCTCTAAATTAGTTATAATTAATTTTCCCACTGATTTCAGTGGAAATAAAGTATAGCTTAAATGCATTGGTCACATTCAGGTGAAAGAATGAGTCATTTGTAAAGACCCTGAAGAAAAATAAAAGACACTTGAAAAAGAGACTGACAGAAGGCAGCTAGATATGATCCTTGATGATGTAGCATGAGTTTATAATAAGAAAACATTTATTGACAGTCTCAGTCCTGGCAACATGATGTCCATCAGGTCGCAAAAAGTTGGGTGTGTTTATAGAACAACAACTGCAAAGACATGTAGCTAACTTACGTAAACCATACATATTTTCTTTGAAATCCAAGAAATCCTTTAATCCTTCATATTTTGGGATATGCTTTAAAGTTTGTGTAGTTCTTTAGCCAAAGAAAATTGATGGTACTAAGAAGAAAGCAATTTTCTGAGTTTTATGACCCATTTCTTGGACAAGCATGTGGATAATATATAAAAATATTTTGTAGGGCTTTTTATAGGATAGTAAGCAGTTGTATTATTTTATCCTTTTGGTTATTAACTATTAAGAGAAAATAATTCAAGTCAAATATTAATTTTGAATGAAATGTTAGCAAATTGTAGGTTGTTAAAATTATTAAAATGTAGTAATTTTATTTTAAGAGAAAATAACCATTACTTTTTTCAACATTAATTGAATGCTGCAAGAATGGTCCTCTATTGCTCCTCCAGAGTGTACAACATTCCCTGCTTCACAGCTGAACCAAATGATTCAATCTACTCTGACAGACCTAGTCAATCCTTAATAGGATTAGGATTCAACATGGCAGGTGTGCTAGCCTCCTCTGTAAATGGGAAAAACTTGGGAATGTTCTCCAAAGAAGACAGTGCGTCACACTGTGGGAAAATGCCCTCAGAGCACCTATCAAGGGAATTCCAGAGACTGTCTGTATGCAATTCCATCATGTATTGACTATATAAATAGTCTACCTTTGAATATGTAAACAGAGTAAGTAGTTTCATATTTGCTTATCGAGAATGTAATTATGAGGTGTTTTCTTAACATTTTTGCCGTATGCTAAATAAATAAATAATTCTTGGCTCATCATCCGAGGTAGCTAAACATTTTTCTGTGATATAACCATTCATGTCTGACCTTAATGTGGCCAATACAAAAAATCAATTTGGTTTCATTATCAAAGAAAGGAGTACATTGTACCCTCCCATGGAAAATCATAGTAAATAGATAGAATTCTTTATTGGCCAAGTGTGATTGGACACACAAGGAATTTGTCTTTGGTGCATTTGCTGTCAGCGTACATAAAAAGAAAAGATACATTCGTCAAGAATCATAAGGTACAACACTTAATGATAGTCATAGGGTACAAATAAGCAATCAAATCATACTAGGAAACAATCAATATAAATTGTAAGGATACAGCAACAAGTTAGTCATACAGTCATACAGAGTGGGAGGAGATGGGTGATAGAAACGATGACAAGATTAATAGTAATAGTAATGCAGTAATGCAGTAACGCATAATAATAAATGTTAAAAAGAAGGCAAAAAGGAAAGAGGTCCCTGCGAATTTTACTCCACTAGTTATTGCCAACTAGAGGGGAAGCACTTGTCTCCATTTCAAAGCATTGTCTGAAGATGTTTCTGTGGTTGGTTATGTGGCCAGCATGGTGTCATGGAGACTGTTTCCTCCCCACTGAAGTGGTACCTATTGATACCCACATCTCTATTTATCTACTCTCATTTTCATGCTTTAGAACTTTCGGACAGGTGTTTATCCTGTTATGTAACACTTGGTCTCAAATCTGGGCTGTTGGCTTTTTAGCTGATAAACCCAGCATCTTCACCAATAAGCCATTGCACCACAAAAATTTTAAAAAGTTCTACAATAAAAAAAAGCATTAAATTGTGTAAGTCCATCATTCACTTGGGGGCAATGATAAGAGAGGAAAAGGTGAAAGAGTTGGCTAATCTCTCTGACCATTCTCTGAAAAAAATGGGGATTAGACTGTGACAATGGCTTTTTTTTTTAATTTTTAAACTTTTATTAATTTAAGAAACCACATAATACATTTACAAATGCAAGTAAAACAATTTACAACAAGCATCATATTAAAGACATCTATCTATAATATCTGAATTGTTACAATATCAATATCCTATATTCTTCAATATACAATATTTCTCTCACCTTATATAATGATATTATTTTATTGATATCTCGTGTCTCTTTCTTAAATTTCATTTGATGTAAAAATTTATTTTACTCTATTGATATCTTTTCTTTTATTTAATTTTTCTTTCTTTCTTCTTTTCTTTTTTTTTTCCACTTCCCTCTAACCATTTATACCATTTTTGCCAGATCAGATAATATTCAGATTCTTCCTTTCCTTGGATCTCCTTGGTAAGTCTATCCATCTCAGCGCATTCCATAATTTATAATGCTTTTTATTTAACCAAGGAAACTTTGGGTATAGAACTTCTTGGTTGGTGTTCACTCTAATTGCAAGTTTTTAAAGGGCAGCATTAGTTGCTATCACAATGTTGTTTTGCATGTATTTCTATGGGATAATATCAGGGATCTAATGCATAAACCACATGGGATCTATTGACAAAAAAACTAGAAAATCCCCTCTGTTGAATTCTTCTTTAAATTTCAGATTTTTGAATCATCTAATCACAGTTCTGAAGGGATTTGGTAAATAACCCATTGTTCCATTTTCTTTCTATTTTCATTACTTCCTCTCCATTTTTTTCCTGTTACAAAGCACTATGCTCTGCATGATAGTTGGCTGCTGCTTTTAGTTGCTTCCGTTCTTTTAATGCCTTTTTCAACAGTGGTATCATCAGGGAAAAAAAATTGGTCTGGAGATTCAGAGACAGCAGGATGTAGCAGACCTCTACGCACAGGTGTGGTATTGTTCTAAAGCTGTAGAAATGGCTTTGCTTGGCTTATCAGATTGAGAATTCTTTTTCAGTGAGTTCCTGCTGAATAAGATAATAGCCCCTTTAAATTGCTATTCTAACAGATACCGGGTCCGTGGTGCTTGCAAAACTACCTGTCTTTATGGTTAAGCTGTAACCCTTTAGATATTCCAGCAGCCCTGTCTCAGTGGAGAAGAATGCTAGGAATTGCAGTGAAGAAAATTTGGAGAGGCATAAGTTCTCCATGACTGGTGATCAACTAATTACTCCCTTTGATACAGAAGAAAGAAAAAGAAGCTTTGGATAGATGCTCCTGCTATGTTCTGATCAAAGCCAACTTTTGCTGATTGGAACTTTCACATTCACATTATATTAAATTTATAAATTTGAGTACCTATTTACTATTATCCCACACATTTAAAAAGAAATATAACTATAGATTACTTGCTGAGAATCCAGGCACCTCACTGAGGAAAAGTAAGAGAGATATCTAAGTATCTCTGAACTGGCCCTTTCTTGGTTTGCCATCTAACAGGACAAAACAACTTAGCTGTGTTGAGGTGAGAAATAACATTGTTTGCTTGATACAAGCAGGAAAAAAAATAACAAATGGTAAAACTATTGAAGGAAATGGTAAACCTACTAAGGATATTATAATGATAATCATTAAAAATTAAAAATTATGTGTGTATTCTATATATTATAATGTTTTACATACTCTATCATTCAGTAGTAATTTAACGTGGTGCATTTGTATTTGTTTATCATTTCAAGTAACGTAAGAGTGTTACTTATGTAAGCAAGGATCCCTTATGAATTTCATGCACTATGTACACGCAGATTTAGCAGTTTCCAGTTGACAGCCCATGGTATTATATAAGCAAAACACCCACCCTCATCTCCCACTGGTCCCTTAAGAAATCCTCTAAATATATGCAACTGGGGCAAAAGGAAAATTGGCAGAACATACAAGTCAAGCATGATATAGACAAAAGCTAATTTGGTGCAGACTAATTCAGTGCTTTGTTTTCAGATATTCTTAATAGTCATTTCTCTAGCAAGAACAGCGATCGACTGACAGGAAAATAAATGGTCCTTGCTTATGTTTACTAGCAAGAAGTAAGAGGAAGTAAATGCCTTCTGGTATTCAAGGTAGTACCAAGACTAAGAGACATTGAAAGCCTCTGCCTTCAAGAATATATACATATCAAATGGTGTCTATCACTATCATTATTTATGTGATTTGTTTGATACAACATACACTTAGATTCTGGAAAATATCCAGAAGGATCTAAATATATCTAAATATATAGTCAATATTTGCATGCTTCTCTGGTCTAGGTTTCTGTAATTTATCACTAAGTTATCCTAGTATGGAGACAGTAACCCCTGTCATTTTTGACATGGTTCCATCAGTCACACTGAGTCAGACTTTATTCATTGTTTTCCTCATTCATCCAGAAGGGAGAGTTTAGAGAAGGCCAGCACAACTCATAGATGGGAAAGAGCCAGATTAATACCTTTTTAAAAACTGTGGGCCACAAAGAAATAGGTGGCATGCCAATCAACTGTTCAACAGCTGGTAGCACAGTGACAACAATGGAGTTGGTGGTGTTCATGACACTTGTGTTTTCTGAGGTGGAGATGATGGCAAAAACTTAGGTGGTGGCAGCAGATTCTTCCTGGTGGCAGTGGTGCTTCGCAGCAATTAATTATTTTTTAAAAATGCTGCTGGGTTATACAAGATTGCTTGGCAGACAATGTGGCGTTCTGGGTGTATGTTGTGCCTGGCTTACAGCATAGGTTTTTATGTATTTTTAATGGTACAATAAACCATTATTGTTAGTATATTAGAGTGCCGTGGTGGCCTAGTGCTGAAGACGCTCCTCTCCCATTTGAAAAGTTGAGTGTTCAATCCTAGATAACAGTAGATGTTTTTCTTCTAGAGCATATAGAAAAATTATCTGCTGCAATCTCCATGTGGTCTCAAGAAGGGCAGCTGGCCAGCAAACATATATCTTCATTCAGTTGCCCCAACTCTCCCCTGAATTAAGAGATTACAGGGTCATAAAAAGGCAGTTTTTAAATGATACAGTATAAAATTGACTTGTTCATACATCCATCTCTCACTGTTTACAAAATACTTGGGAGGTTTGGTATATGAGATACAGATCAGGATACCATTTTTAACTAAGGTTGTCATTTTGCTTGAATTGAGGAATTATGACAGTTTATCTGAAAAAATAGGTTTAAAACAATGGTTTTATTATGGGACATCCACTAGTTAACTTTCACAACTGCATAAAGAACATTCTATGGTGTAGAATATATGGCCTTGGGCCTCCATCAGAGCTCTTCAATATATAGTAGTATGTGTCACTGATCAGCTAAAACACCTGAATACCTTATATAACATTTATCTATTTTATCTAGCATTTATGTAGATAAGAATTCATATTCATATATGTTGATAATATAATAAATAAATCAGTATTTATTTCATCCCTTTATTTGATGTTTCAGATTTTATTTTTTGACCTTGTAGCTCATTAACTGGCAAAGAAGATTTTTATTAAACTGACAGTTGTCATTAAATGGATCCTTTGTTGAAAGCCTTCCTAACCAGTTTTGATTTCCTCTAGCGCCAGCCTAATCAAGTTTACTTTATGATAATGATATTGTTTATTGCAAAAGCATTTCTCCTTGTCTTCAGGATTTCAAGCACTAGGTCATATTTATGAAATAATTTGATTGGCTGCACTACTAAGAAGTGAAAAAAGTGTTTTAAGCATTTCCCAACATTTATTAATTTCTATTTATTGAATTAGCTTTTTCATCTGCTATAATATAGTAAATGTTGATGACTTTATGTTATTTTAAATACTAAGTTTTATTTGTATGATTTCTTAAAATACACATATACACCTCTTACTTACAAATTTATGAATAATATGATTTTCTCATGGAGAATTATAGTTGCTTTCTTCACACATCCAATTGATATTCTTGTACTACTCTATATTCTATAGAACCATGATGTTTTTAAATAATGAAAAGTTGG